TTGGTGGACGGCCCCGTGCCCTCGAGGCTCCACGCGTGCTCGCCGGCCCCCATCCGATAATCGCATGAACCCAATCAGATACAGAAGCGATTGACTTTAAGGCAAGTTTTCACAAACGGCGACAGAATAGAGCGCTCCATCTGTCAACTGGGAAATGCACCAGGGCGTCGTCGACTCTGTCCCTCATGCGTCGCATGGTGTCGGCCCACTCTTCTCCGTCGACCCTTCTCCATCCAACAATCAAGCGAAGCATTTTGTTCTGAATGGCGCCCAGAGAATCCAGTCGTTGCTTTGTCAGAGGCAGACATGCCAGCCCAAAGAAAAGAGTCGGCGTAACCATCGACTGCAATAATTTGAGCCTCAAGCAAATCGATACATTTTGGTCTGTGAGCGCATGACGATGTTCTTGGAACTGCTGCCAAGCTCGTCGAAATCGTTGTCGTAGTTCCGTTGTGGTGCGGTCCTTCAAATTCGCCGGCAGCGTCTTCCCCAAGCACTTGTGCGTATCCATGCCGTTCATGACCTTGAGCATGTTGTTTTCGACCTCGATGAACATGGCCCCAGCCGTCTCCTCTGTGGTGAGAATCTTCGTCTTGTCTGGGTTCAAGTGCAAGCCAACGGCTGCCAACTCTTCCATCAAGACTTCCAGCATGTTCGCCGACTCGTCCGCCGATTGCGCGCACAACATCATGTCATCTGCGTATCGGAGATTTGTGGGCAGCTTCCCATTCCCAAGAGGGACACCAGCATGCCCTACCCGTTGTTTCCATTTTGCGATCGCCATGTCCAGTCCAGCATTGAACAACATTGGGCTGATGACGTCTCCCTGTTTGACTCGGCGTTGCATTGGGAATGGCTGCGCTCCGGCCACGTAACCCGTCTGGCTGGAATACAACGACGCCAACAAAGCGACGCGGTCTGCATCCACACCTTGGCCACGCAGAGCTCGGAACAGGGAAACATATTCGATCCGGTCGAAGGCTTTGCGTAGGTCGAGACTTGCGCACCAGAGTGGCACGCCCCACTCGAAGCATTTGCTGCAGGCAACTTCAAAAACCAAGAAGGCGTCTTCCACCGAGTGTTTTTTTTCCCCTGAAGCCAACTTGGTCGGGCCCCCCGCGCACTTTCCAAGACGCCCCGCAGCCAGTGGTAGAGCATCCGAGAAAATACCTCATAGGTCATCTTGAGGACAGCGATCGGCCTCCAATTCTTTGGCTGCGACAGGTCCCCGGTCTTGGCCAGCATGGTAAACAGAGTATCTTTCCATGAATCCTCCAGAAGCCCAGTGCGCACCATGTCGTTATACATGGTCAGCAGGTAATCCAGGAAAGAATCGGAAGCATGCTTGAGAATCTCTGCGACGATGCCGTCGGCGTCGGCGCCTCTCATGTTGTTCAACACCTGGATCGCTCTGCCAAGCTCCTCCTTTGTAAAATCAGGAACATTAAGGGGGCCCTCGATGGTCCGATAATTCCGCTGGCATTTCTTCTGAAGAAGAAAATCTGTCAGCCAGAAACCCTGCTAACGCGTCAGGGGCGCATTTTGCGTCACCCAATTCCTTCCGCCTCCGTGCCGGGAACAACCTCGCCCCTGAAAGTCGGCGTAGGTCACGGAACTCAGTCAGAACCTGTTGGGTGCGTAAGGCCTTTCGTCTCCGGAGTTCGGCCCGCACTTGCCTGCGAATTCGCATGGAGATGTCTCTTCTGCCTGCAGATCCGCTCGGGAGAGCACGGCGCTGGCGGAGTAGATCTTGGAAAGCACTGTCGGCCCAGAAGACTGGTTCATCGCTCTTTCGTTTATCATGACCAGGCGCAACGGTGGCCACGCAAATATCCAGATCGGAAAGGCATGTTGGCGGATATGCGTGCAAGTATGCATCTACGTCGTGACGATACGCACGAGCATCGCTAGGCTCCCAACCTCGAGGGTCATATCTGGTTCTGCGCCTCTGGCCAGATGTCTTGGCACGCACACATGCGTGCACAGCCCGATGGTCGGAACCCAAGCATAAGGAATTGACTGCTGCACTGTTCTCCACCCGCACCGCGCGTGGCAGCATAATGAAGTCGATGCATCTTGTCACGCCCATGCTGGAGCGGAATGTCCACAGGTCATTGCGCTGCAACCTTGGTGGGAAATTCGCGATTTGGAGGCCGTGTGTCGCTGTAAATTCGTTGAGTCTCTGACCACGGGGCCCAGTATTGAACTGAGAATTCCAATCTCCCCCGATGACAATGAGGCTGTTCTTGTTCTGCTTCTGGGACGTGCGCACTATGCCATCGAGGTCTTTGTAGAACGAATCAAAAACATCCGGGGCAAACCCAGCATGCGGCACATATACTGCCAAGCAGGTGTACAAGCGACTATGCATCATAATGTCGATACCAAGAACACGATCGCTGCATTTGCGGACTCTTCTGATGTTCGGGACGTGGCGCTCGTGCACCAAGATGCCGACACCTGCAGCGGCATCGTCCCCGATATCGAGAAATAATATGTGGCCGCCCTCAAGTGTGAGGTCAGATGACGGTGCCCGCGTCTCGCTAAATAAAACGATATCCCAACGCATGTCTACAAGCTCCGATAATAATTCTGTCAATTGTGCGCTCGTCCTTAGCCTGGCATTCTTCGTGTAAATGTGTACTTCCCCTGTCAAGGTAGGGGGTGAAACTTGGTTTGACCGGCGCTGTCCCTACTCCTGCTTGGCAGGTTTGCCTGTTCCCTTGCCCTTGTCTGCGGCCTGCTGCAATGAGTTCTGGCATTTGGCATGCAAAGATTTGAAATCTTCGTCCTTGTGCAGCGCCTCCCACGCATTCCAATCCGGCTTCAACCATGGAAGCTTCAGCTTATAATCAGAAGTGGTATTGGCTACCAGCACGGTGTCGATCCCGAACTTCATGGAGCACGTGGCATCGTCGATCTTGATGGAGTTCGCTGCGAAGCCCCAGCTGACCAAGAGCGTTTTTTAGGCCGATGAGAAAACGTAGGGGCACTCGAACGTGTAGCGGTTGATCCAAGTTGGCCCAAACCTTTTTGCCCGAACACGTGATGGTTTCGGACCGGAACCTCTTCACAACGTTTTGAAGGTCATCGGAATTCGCAATTTTTCCAAACACGAGTCCGTTATAGGGCTCTCATTTAATGAACATCTCGGTCGGAGGTGGGATGTGTGCTTTCCGAAGCTCCTCTTTGATGAACTGTTCGGCCTCCGCCAAGGAAGAGAAGCCATCCAAGCCACCGAAGATGGCTGTCACCGATGTTGAATCTGAAGCCCCTCGTGTCGTCGTCAGGTGCTTGAGCATGTCCTCCATCTCCGTCAAACGGGCCTCGACTGACGCCCGGCTGTCCGGTGTACCGAAAGAGCGTGGTGTGGCTTGGGCTGATGTCGTCTCGAGTGCTTCCAATCGCTGCGTAATATCTGCGATATCGTCCCGGACTGGTTGAAGAGCTTCTTCGAGATGTTGTCGAGAGACTCCATGTTCTTTGATGGCCGTGATGTCCTCACGAAGTGGCGTCAGACGTGCATCCAACATAGATGAAACCGTCAATGGTGTGTGATCCTGTGCGTCCTCGAGCTGCTTCTGAAACGCCTCTTGTCGTAGTGGCGTGGGGACCTCATCGTCCATCTCTTGCAATGGACTGGACCCGATCCTCGCCTTCTTGAGCTCCTGATTGCCCGGCGTGGAGATGAGGTGCCTCTCCGCGGAGCTGCTGCCCAATACTTCACGCACTGGAGTGCCCGGCCTCCGAGAATTCGCTGGCATTGCAGGCGCTTCGAAATCGGTCGGGCCCGGAATCGCTCGAATCGGTCGACAGTCGAAAACAACCCGGGGGCGGGCCGATGCGTGCGTGCATGCATACATATACACGTACATATGTAAACTCATACATACACACACCGACATACATAGATAAACATACACACACCATGCATACGTCCGTACACACATACATATATACACGCATACATACATACATACATACATACATACATACATACATACATACATACATACATACATACATACATACATACATACATACATACACATTCATACATGCAAGCAACCATACACACAAACACACACATGCATAACTGCATACATACATACATCCATGCATACAAACATATACACAGCAGTGCGTACGTGCATAAAGTAAAGACGTGTATACGTGCCTACGTGCATACGAACGTACACACGTACGCACGTGCATACGTACATACGTACGTGCGTACACAAATGCATAAACAAACCTGCATACAAAACTACAAACGTACCGCCATGCCACCATACATACATAAATGTATACACGCGTGTATACAGAAGGGATTACATGCATGCATGCATGCATACATGATGTACAGAAATACATGATATACATACACACATACAGGCATCCGTGCATACATATATGCATGCATGTGTATATACATACATACATGCATGCACATATACATATGTACATAACCATATGCATGTTAGCATAAATACTCGCATACATGCATGCATGCATACATACATACATACATGCGTACACATATAAGTATACGCAGATAAACATACATGCATGCATGCCCGCATCCAAGTCATACATACATACATACATACATACATACATACATACATACATACATACATACATGCGTACGCATGTGCATCCATTCATATGTATTTTCACACAAGTATATGCACACATGCATATACGTGCATGCGTATATATACACACCAACATTCACAGACACATATGCCTAAACATATACATATAGATGTACATGTACGCGAGCATATGCATATGCATACACCTATGCATGTACATATACATACGCATATGCATATGCATAAGCACATACATGTGCATATATATCTACATGTATACGTGTAGCGCACTCTTGGCACTTGAGCAGCTCTGCGGAGCGTCGCGCAAGCCCAGCAGTCTGACCCGTGTAGCAGCAGAGTCCCGCCGCCGCCGCCGTCCTGCTTCACTGGGGGGGCGCAGGCCTGCGGGCAGCTGCTTCTTGACCTTGCCCTGGACGTTGGGCGGCACCATGATCTTGTGCTCCTGGCGCGGCTCGCGGGCGGCCCTAGCCCGGCCTTCCTCCGCACCCTTGGAGAGGGGGGGGGGCAGTCTGGGCAAGACACACCATGCTCACCCACCCCCACTGGGGAAACATCAGCCCCGCTGACCGACCTACCCCTCATAGGGGGGTGGGTGGAGACGGGTGCCGTCCCCTTCGGGTCTCACGACGCTCATCCCCACCTCGAGGGGATCCGCTGTGAAAGCTCATCTACCACGTTCCAGTGGGGGCGGGGACGGTTCTGCCCAGGACGAGAGAGAGAGAGAGAAAGAGAGAGGGAGAGAGTAACAACAAATTTAGCCTGGCGAAGGACCCAACCGAATGCAGTTGTGAGTGCCGCAGTCGTGAGTATCGTCTTCGGTGGAGCTCCTTGTGGGGGCGAAATGTGTGAGGTTTGTGCCAACGCGGGATGGCGGCGGCACGCGGGCGCTGCCACTGGGGCCTTCGGTGGAGCACCCTATGGGGCCACCAAATGTGTGAGGGGTGCGCCGAAATGAAAGTGGAACTGCATGCGGACCCTGCCACTAGGGCCTTCGGTGGAGCACCCTATGGGGCCACCAAATGTGTGAGGGGTGCGCCGAAATGGAGGTGGAACTGCATGCGGACCCAGCCACTGGGGCATTCGGTGGAGCACCCTATGGGGCCACGAAACGTGTGAGGGGTGCGCCGACGTGGGGGTGGAACTGCATGAAGACCCTGCCACTGGGGCCGTGGGTGGAGCACACCATGGGGCCACGAAACGTGTGAGGGGTGCGCCGAAATGAAAGTGAAACTGCATGCGGACCCTTGAAAAAAACAGAGTCACCTTGATTGTATGCACTCAGGCAATTGACTTCAACATTCAGCAAATTGATTTGGATCCATTATTGCCTGGTGGTGGGTATCACCTGATCCAGTATCGCTGCCATCACTTCGCTCTGCTACCATGCAAATGTAACAGGACAATGGTAATGAGGATGAAACTCTCTTTTTACTATCAGCGAATGAAGGGCAGATGTAGGTGCAATTAGCGCCGCCAGATGGCGGGCTTAAACACTTGAGCCAAACGTCAGAGTGCACAGAAACATGGAGGGCTATACGTACGCAAACACCTCCTCCTCATCCTCATCCTCCTCCTCCTCATCCTGCACTTCTGTCCTCCTGTCCTTCTCTCTCCTCCTCCCCTCTCCGCCAGCCTCCTCCCTCCTGTGGGAGTCCCCACTGGCGACAATGGTGCGAGGTGGGCGGCTGTCCTTGAACAGGCCGTTCTCCCTCACGATGCCCACGACGTCGCCCCCGGTGACGAGACTGCCCACCTCCGAATGCGGACGGGCGGCCCCCGCAAGCCGCCATGGGAGATAGAAAGAGAGAGGGTCGAATATCGAGGTTCGACGATCGAGCGAGTCGAGAAGCCGAGGTACGAAGATCGAGGACTCGACGTTCAAGGTTCGAGGCTCGAGGCTCGAGGCTCGAGGCTCGAAGCTCGAGGCTCGAGGATCAAGGTTCGAGGATCGAGGATCGAGGATCGAGGATCGAGGATCGAGGGGTCGAGGAGTCGAGGATCCATGATCCCGGATGGAAGATCGAGGGGGCGACGGGGCGACGGATCGAGGATCGAGGATCGAGGACAGGAGGCCGAGGATCGAGGATCGAGGATCGAGGGGGCGAGACGTCGAAGATCAAGAATACGCCTCCCACGAGGCGCAGCGGCAGAGCCGCCCCAGGCGAGCAGGCCAATCCCCGCGGGCGCGGGCTGGACTCTGCCGACCGGCTGCGACGGCGCGCCCCCGGCAAGAGAGAGAAGGCCTCGACGCGAGCGCGGACCTGGATCTTCGATCCTCGAACGTCGGCCTCCCTCCCTCCTCCTCCTCCTCCTCCTCCTCCTCCTCCTCCTCCTCCTCCTCCTCCTCCTCCTCCTCCTCCTCCTCCTTCCACTCCCCCTCCTCCCCACCCATCCCCCTCCTCCTCCTCCTCCTCCTCCTCCACCTCCTCCTCCTCCTCCTCCTCCTCCTCCTCCTCCTCCTCCTCCTCCTCCTCCTCCTCCCCTCCTCCTCCTCCTCCTCCTCCTCCTCCTCCTCCTCCTCCTCCTCCTCCTCCTCCTCCTCCTCCTCCTCTCCTCCTCCTCCTCCTCCTCCTCCTCCTCCTCCTCCTCCTCCCCATCCTCCTTCCCCTCCCCCTCCTCCCCCCCTCCTCCTTCTCCCTGCGCCCCTCCTCGACACAGAGATCAGGCTCATGTCATGACGTCGAAGTCGGTTTCCGACACCGCGTGGATCGTACAGCCCTGGCCGATCGCGGCTTTCCAACAGCACGGGGCCTTGGATGCCAGCCGCCAACGGCGTTCAGCCTTCAACGCACTCACCGGGGTCGCCGCCATGTCGACGCGGCGCGAACCTGTCGTATCGGCGCCTAGAAATGAGGCTTGGAATCCTGGAGACCTCCAGAGGCACGTTCCCAAGCCCTGGGGCCGTCAGAAACAGTGCAGGATGTTGTTATTATCTTGGGGGGGTCGGAAACAGTTCAGGATAAAGAGGCGGTCCCAGGGAGGGGGTCGAAAGTTCCATGCAACAGCGACTCTCACAAAAAAAGTGGTCGGAGGCCAGGGGGTGTCTGAACACTGGTGGAATGGCGCGGGGGAATCGCGACAACGGAATTGGCAGCACGCAGAGGGGGGTAGGGGGAGTGGGAAATTCTCCTTAGAAGGGTGCTGCTTCCTAGAAGGCGTCTGCCCTACATCTAGAGACAAGGCCCGCGCCTTCTAAGAAGCAGGGATGCTTCTGAGAAGCCTCCCCCCCTCCCACTAACCCCCTCTGCGCGTGGCCGAATGGGCAGCAGACGAAGAGCAGTGGCCGGCGCCTTGATGTTCGCGACGGGCGTGAACTGCCACTTCTTCTCGCGATCCAAATTTGGCACCTCCCCTCGTCTTGCTGCTCATTTCCTTCCTCCGTTGCCTGTCATGCAGTGGCGTTAGGCAGCGTCCGTTGCCAAGCTGAAGACAATCCAACTGTCGTTTCACTTCTGTGTACGAAGGCGCCCGCACACTCTTACCTCCACATCCTCCTCCTCCACCTCCCCCTCCCGCTCCTCATGGTCATGCCTGTACACGTCGCTCTTGCATGTCCTTTGTCCGACCACGCGCACTTCATTCCGCACCCACATCGGGTTCCAAAGGTTGAGTGCAGAATCGGCATTCGGGCAAGGCTGAACGTATATCCTCACATTCCGTCTGTCTCTTGGACGGGCTCCACTGTGGGCGATGACAGGCCGTGTGCGGGGCAACTTGCCCGTGCCCGACCACACATTTGCACGCCAGAGACACACCTGGCCCAGTCATCAGCACACCTAGTGTCAGCAAGAGGGGTGCGGAAGGCCTCCTCGAACTGCGGCAACTGCGCTCGGCGCAGGGCTCAGTGGCCTGCCTGCGCCGCGCTGGCCTGGCGCTCACCCGGCGAGCGCCCGGAAGCTGACGAGTCGGCCAATCAGCACCTGGCGCGTCACCCCCAGGCAGCTCCCAGCAGGCAAGCACGCCGTCGTCTGCGCAGGCAGCGCCCGCAGCCGACAAGGACACCTCAGACGATGCCTGGCCGACGCAGGAGGCGGCAAGGGCGCTGGCATCGGCGCCTGCTGGGCGCGCCACTGCTGGCGGCCAGCTGCTGGCGGCCAGCGGTCTGCAGTGGTGCTCGTGAGCCCCGAGAAGGGAGCAGAAAAAAACGCCCTCATGATAAGCACCCCGGCAATCGAAACCGCGCAGTCAACACACCCAGGGCAGGAATCGAACAGGACAGGGCAGTTTAGTAAACGTGAACGCCAAGTATGGGGGTCGGGGTGGTTTTTCCTCCCGTGACCGAAGCGCAGGCGCAGCAGGAGGTCGAGCAGCACACGAACGGGGCACCTGCATGCGCAGTGTGGCAAGGCTAGACACTCGCGAGCCACGACGAAGGAAGGCTCTGAACTCTAGATGTCTGGAGCGGTCGCTGGTCAACGCTCGTGCTTCGGGGCACTGGAGGGATCTCGAATCGGACTCGAGAGTACCCGCCAGGTACCAAAGGCGAGGGGCCAGCAATGGGAAGCATTACATGCGGACACACGCCAACATGGATTACGAATCCGTGGATCTGCCCGGTGGGCGCCAGATCCTCGGATCGGAGAGTCGGCGGAAAGCGAGGGGGGAAGTGAGAAGGAAAAGGCCCTCTCGGAAGGCGGCTGGACTTCTCAGAAGGCCTCTGGCCTTCTGAGAGGCTCTCTGCGCCTTCGGGGAAGGCTCAGGGAACTTCTTGGAAGGCTGGGGGACTTCCGAGCCTTCTGAGAAGGCCCGCCCCTTATCACTTTCCCCCCGGGCTCGCCGCCGAGTACTTGGACCCCACCTGGGAGGCCTCTGGCCGGGTCCCAAGGATCAAGAAGGCCGGGGGCCCTGTGCGGAAGAGGCATGGCGTCGGATGCATCTGGGGCCCAAGGATCGGTGCAGATGGGTCGTCGGCGCTCAGCCTCGGAGGAGGAGCAGGAGGAGGAGCAGCAGCAGCAGGAGCAGGATGATTGCACTGTAGTGCAACTGCCCGCGAGGGAAGACAGAACCCGGTTAAGTCGGGCGGTGAGCATGGGTTCTCCCATCCTTGGAGCGGTGCTCGTGAAGTTTGGGATGGCACACCTTCTGGTCCCAAAGAGGAAATATCCCATGAGGCCAGTGCAATCTGATCCGGCGGCGGGGCGGGCCGACTCCGCACGGGAGCGAGGTCCGTGGCCAATATGCACACGCCTGGGTCCATTGCCTGCGCTGCCTCCTTGCTCGCGCAGCCTCCGTGCCGCTCCCCCCCACCCCCCCACCTGGAGGCGGGGCGGACCCCTCCAGGAGGAGTGAGGAGGAGGAGGAGGAGGAGGAGGAGGAGGAGGAGGAGGAGGAGGAGGAGGAGGAGGAGTTTTATCCCGGCGCGGCTGACAGCGTGCAAGCGGGGCTGGCTACGCAGACAGACTCAGGCGAGAGCCTGACAGGAAAAGCCTCGGGCACATCGCACACGGGAGTGCCGCACGAGGAAGGGACACGAGGCTAGCCCGACACGGCGCATTCGTCCTCGACCACGACCAGGCCCCCGTAGGTGGC